TTCCCACCCAAACCATCCTGGGATTCTCTTCTGTGTTCTGGGATTGGAGGCAGTGCAGAAGCAGGACTTTGGGAGTGCATCCATTGCTCCCAGGTGGTTTCTGCAGGGCAAGGCAAAGGCAGAGCAGTGCTGGGGGAGGGCAGGCTCAGGACACCCCTGCTTTGTGCACCTTTGCAAACTTTGGGCACGACTGGGATGAATCTCTCCATAATACTTTATTCCTCTTTTGCATGGGGAAAAAGGGAAACACCCAAGTGCTGCGATGAGATAGACCAGAGGAGGGAGAAGTGGATGGGCTCAGCACAGCTTTTTCCCTTTAAAAGCTACTCTATGAGACCTTCAGCCCTAGATGCAAATGTATATCCTTCCAGGAGAAGTATTTCTGAGGCAGGGTCTAGCACATCATTTTCTCTCCCTGCCTCCTTAAAGATGTCATATCCTTCCCCCACAACAAATGCTATTGTTGGAAAGAAAATGGAAAATCTTTCTGGCCATTCTTCTGCAATGAAAGCAGCAATCTTCAAAGCTAAGAACAATCCCTTCAGGGTAGCTGAGTAACTGCTCAGGCTATACAAAACCAGCCAATTTGTACTGGTGAGGTACCAAGGCTCAGCTGTTCGATGGGGCTGGAGATGTTTGTGTCTGTAACTGGGACATGGTGGGCTGGGCCTGGTCACCGAATGGTGCTTGAAGGCTGTTTTTGTGCTGGGGCAGAAATCACAGCCTGTGCAGGGCACCAGTTTTCATCTGATGGAGGGAGTGACAGGTGTGACTGAGCCTTGGGATCTGCTTTCCTTTGCAGCTCCAGCATCCAGTGCCTGGTGGGAGCAGAGCAGGCTCAGCCTCCCCTGGTTTGTCCTCCCAGCCAAAACTCTGCTCTGTTTTGTCCCTCATCTCCTACTGCAGCTCCACCTAAACATTAAACAAAGGAGCAGACAGGGTTCTCTGTGAATAACTCCCCAGCTGAGAATATTTGCAGTAAAAAGGAGATTTCTACCTCAAAATAGCTTCCTCAGGGGGCTTCCCCAGTGGGATTGGCACTTCTGTGGAGCCCACCTTCCAAACCAACCTCTCACCTGTGGCTGGTACTGTTTCTGTACCACTGTTTCTGTACCAGTGCTGAGCTGAGGAGTTCAGGCTGTTCAGCCACTCTGGAATTGCAGCCTTCAGTTGAGTGTCTGCATATTTGACCCGTGAGAAGATGGACAAGATGATCAGAGGGGGGAAGGTTGAAGCTCCTCTCTGAGGAAAGGCTGAGAGAGCTGACAGGGAAGGTGGGCAGAGAGGTTTTGCAGGTCCCTGGCACAGGGTGCCAGAGCAGCTGGGGCTGCCCCTGGAGCCCTGGCAGTGCCCAAGGCCAGGCTGGACATTGGGGCTTCTTGGAGCAGCCTGGGATGGTGGGAGGTGTCCTTGCCATGGCAGGGCTGGAACAAGAAGGGCTTTAAGGTTCTCTCCAACCCAAGCCATGCTATGATTCTATGACTTCCCTAGAAACTCAGCTCTGGGCATTCTGTCTGGAGACACCCAATGAATCAAGAGCAAATCTGAGACAAAATCCAATTTGGTTTTGTTTTTCTCCCTGTACCTTTCATTGAACTCCACAAGGATACACAGCACCTGTGAGGTTTTACTGAGACAGACACTTGGTGTGTTTTGGGAACTGGGAAGAGAGTTCATATACAGATTCCCAAAATAAAACAAAAAGCTGCCTGAGAGGGAAGTTCAGTTGTTTAATTCAGAGTGTAAACACATATATGTCTGTTCCTTGACCTACTTGATTTTCTAAGCATTAAGAACTACTTTGAATTATTGTTTTTGCTGGGATGCAGACCTCTTGAAATTTTTATGAGAAGCATGTTCTAAATTC